AAAAAACTAAATTATCCCTTAATTTTTTATCTGCCTAAGTCATTGTGAATTTCCTCCCACAGATTTCATTTTAGTTGAAAAGTAGAAAGAAGCCTTGGGGCCTGAGGGTTAAATCTTCTCTCCTTTGCTCCTGCTCAGTCATTTTATAATCAGGGAGAAGTCAGGTGTAGGTGGTAAGAGTTGGCATTTGTAGTAACCTAATGACGAAGGAAGGAAGGAAAGATGGAGGGAGGGAGACAGGCAGGAAGAAGGGAGGGAAGAAGGAAGGAGAAAAGAAAAGAAGGAAAAAGAAAATTCAATTCTAATTGAAAAACAATGAGTCAGAAAGACTGAAGGAAAACCCTAGGAAAGTAAGTTTTATTAGAAAACTTAACAGGAAAAAACTAAAAGAAATAGTAGAAAAAATGGCCAGTCTTTCCATTCTATATTCTGAAAGAAACATTCAGAGACTCTGAAGCACTCAAGATGGTGGTCCTTGATGTTGAAGAAAAATGGAGGCCGAACTAATGAGTGACCAAGGCTGGGCTACTCGTCCATTTCATCTTCCCACACCTTTCACAGTCTGACCTTGAGAAACTGTACCCTAAGTCACATATTCTCTTTTTAAGTATATTTTTATGCTACCTTTTTCTCCAGAAATGAGCTTTTAGTCATTGAGCCTCTAGGCACCAGTACACACTCTGTTATACTTAGTCATTTTCACATATCTCTTCCCCATCCAGTCATGAGTCCTGATCTCTCAAAGTTTATTAATACTTGGTGCTTTGAAGAAGACACATTAGCTACCAGGTTTTCTGAGACTGAGTTGGAAGGTGTCAGAGAGCAGAAGATAATTGTCATGCATAGATAACCTTTATCCTTCCTAATTTTTTCTCATCTGTTGTAGAGAAACCCTCTCTGAATCTTAGCCCTTGCTATGTTGCTATAATTCTTCACCTAAAAATCATTTCTCTTAATTTCCATCAGAACATGTCTTTCCCAGTTTCTTCAAACTCATCTTCAAATCTTCAGATCTTCCTTCCAGTAGCCTTTCATGGCCAAGCTCATCTCTTCCCAAAATATTTCCTACTTCTACAGACCCTCTCCCCATCATATTTCGTGGTTTCCCTTGCTGTGCTCCTATCACCCTTTATACTTACCTTCTGTAGCCTTCACCACATTCTGTTGTACTTAATTGTTTTCATGTCTCTCTCCCCTCTTCAGTCATGGGTCCTGTTTGTCTTGGCATCCCCAGCACCCAGCACAATGACTGGCACACAGTAGGTGCTTGAGAAAAACTAGTTGAGTGAGTACATGATCATAGATAGATTGGATTTTGTCATTCAACAAACTATTGAGCATATCAATAGTATATTATATGGCCCACCTTAGGTACTATCAACCTTCAGGCAATCTAAATACTTTTTTTGTAAATATCTAATGACTTTCCAAATATTTATATTATAAATTTGCTGAAGATTTTTTTCTTCTGTTTCTATTAAGTCTTGACATAGTGTTTTGTACTATCTAGATACAGTAAAACTAGTTGAGTATGGCCTTGTGCAGAAGAGGGAGAGAGAGGTGAAGTTTCATTTGACCTTAGTCTCAAAGTCACAAAGGACCCCAAATTTGGACTTCATTATTATCTCCAAGCAGGGCTATGCCTACATTAGAGATACACTGAAATAATTGAAAGAGGGGACATCCGTCATCCAGCTGTAAGCCTTTTACCCTTTCTTGTCTCCTACTGCTTCTGGTGTGTATACTGCTAGTTTTGTGACGCTCATTTGAGTATTTCTTCATAGGGTCTCTCTCAAGAGAGACCTACACTACTTAATCTGGAGGTTACTCTCTTTTTTGTAAACCCTTCTGATGAGTTACAGTGTGAGAATGAGTTTGATATGTTCTTTTCTCTTTCAAAATAGAAGTGACATGAGGGCAACCAACTTTTCCCTTTGTTTCAGCCATACTCTCTCTATCTAGATCCAGGTCTGGCAGTTTATAGTTCCCCAATATTGTTATGTCCCTGCTACCTAAAAGAAGGTGAGAATAAGGTCATGGGTGAGGTAGGTGTCAGAAAAGAAAGAAGTAAAGTGTCAGAGACCGAGGAATGGGAGGGCAACAGTGGTTCAATGGTCAGTAAGAGCCATTCAGTCTTGGTGCAGGACTCTGCCTTCATACATAGGAGGTAACTCAGAGTTCACCTTGTGTCATCATTCTTATTTAACAAAGGAAGGCACGGAGCCTGCGTAAAGCAGAGCTGGGACTGAATCGATCTCTTGTTTAAAGCCTTCCGCTCTGTTGGCTCCTGCCCTCTAGAGCGAACATGCATCTTCATCTCTGCTGCACCTTGGGCAGTAGAAACTTGAACCAGTGATTTTTGTGGCCCTTCTCTGAGCTCCAGACCTGTATATACAACCATCTCCTAGATAGATTCCTCTGGAATGCCCAAATATATTCTCTTCCCCTTATACTTGGTCTATTTCCAGGGTTTGCTGTCTTAGTGACAGGCATCCTAGTCTTTACAACTGAGCAAGCAGGAAACTCCAGGACTCTCCTCCCAAAGCTTCCCTGAGTCTATGGAATCTATCATCAGATCCTGTTGATTTACCTCCCCAAATCTGACCACACCTCGTCTACCATCATCACCTGTCCAAGCTCCCCATGCAGCCTATCACCATGGCAACATTACCTCCTTGTGAGCCAGCCTGCATCCACTTGGGCCTTCTCTCCATCTGCTGTACACATTCTTGACACAGTTCCTGATTCACAGTAGATGGTGATGGAATAAATGGACAAACCATTTATTTGTGGTTAAAGCAGACTTTGTTCTAGACATTTACACTCTAAGAAGATCTCTGTTGTTTCAGAACAGTTAAGAAGTCAAATTAAAATAAATGCCTATAGGGAATATAGTATGGCGTTTGCACTTATGGGGAGCATAGCAGGATGTATAGATTTGTCAAACCACTATGTTGTGTGCCTGAAAGCAATATAGCATTGTGCCAGCCGTACTTCAATAATAATAAATAAATAAACCTGTCTAGATATGTCGACGATGTCAACTAAATTAAATACAATATTATTAATTAAATTCAATGAACTCATTTTGTACCTGCTGTAGAAAATGCCAGATACTCTACATCTGCCAAGCCTGGTTCACACCTTCCTCATCCAGGTGTCTAGAAAACTTCATGTGTTAGAGAGCTCCATCGTTTTCTCACCAATCAATCCAAAATTAACTGCCCCAAGCTTTGCAAAGAGCCAGCTTCATTTCTTCTTTTGAAATTACTCATATTATAGAAAGCACATATCAATGCATGGAGAATTTATATTTGCCTGAGAGGGCTGAGAAGCATTTAATTTGACTGTTTCAAGTCATGTGGAATTTTTGTTTTTATCCTATTTAATTATAAAATAATTGGTTAATTAAATTTTCAGTTGGAAGTAGTGCACAGAAGTGAAATTCCTCTTCCGTTGTTCTCTCTCTCTGCCCTTTGCCTTGCTTTAAGTGGAGCACCTGAATGGTTGCATTAATGCCTGCTGAGAGCATGCTTTGCACTATGTGTTTATTTGAACTGAAGCATATTTTAAATGGGGTAAAACTAAAGCTAAAGAAACTAAAAGCCTTAATATCCATTCAAAAACCAAGCCCTGCTAGCCAAAGGAATTGATTATCCTGATTTCTTCAGTGTCCCTTATGATCACAATCTCCTTACTGACCTCAGTCTATGTGCCCTCTGCCCAACCTCGCAGAAGTACTCAGATCATCAGGGTGCCATTGTCAACATCATGGCCTCCCTGGGGCCCGAAGCCTTGTAAGCCAGCACCCAGGAAACCCAATGGGCTATGCCTTCTCTTTGGTAGCCACCTCGGCTTCTGGGTGGCAGTTCCTCCTCTGCCTAGTATTGAGCCCCTGGCATACACTAAGCCTTGGATACCAGATGGGATTACTGCCCTGTCCTGACCATCCAGGAGCCCCAAAAACAAAAGGCTCAGAGTTGTGGTCATGTTTTCCAATTTAAAATCAGTTCAACAAATGCTCCTGAGGAAAACCAAGAAGTGGCAGAATTTCCCATGCCCACCCTAGGTAGCACGTGTGCTCATGGAACATTGTAAACCAGATTTCTCTCTCCGGCAATGAGCTAAAGATTCACGTGGGCAAATTAGGAGTTCCTCCTCATCCTTTGTCTGATCGCAGTTTTTGCATGTTGTCCCTGAGCAGTAGTACTCTCTTTCTGCTTCCTTTATTCAGGTGCTAAGTACCTTTCCCTTACAAGTTAGAGCTTTTCCTTTTCTGCTCCCAGTTAGCCTCTTGACCTTTTACTTGCTCTACCTCTTGTCATAGTGTTACGGGCCTATTTCATAATCTTATTTGAGAATATATCGTGTCATTGTCTGCTTTATATTTCTATTGTGTACCCACAGTTCCGTAAATTAAATATGAGTGCTTGGTTATGGCCAGGAAAATTGATCTTTAAACGAATTAATATTTCAATGCCAGTTGTAGAGCTATTTCCCCATTTAATGTGTGCCTTGGCTTAGAAATGGAAAACAATGAATGTATCATTTTAGAAAAACTTAAATCAAAATGCAGACAAAGAAAGGAAGCCAAATATGCCATAAGATTCTGAAACTGAATGTCAGAGGAGAGCTAATGCCTTAATTTGTGGAGTCCAGATCTTTTAAGACAAACAGAGGCACCCTTATTTGATTTCTTTCCTGGCCATTTCATTTCCATAGTATGGAAAGTAAAATGTGGATCACCATACCTACCCCTGGTTGCCAAAAAATATATAGGTTGTCAAGTTAAATTTGAATTTTAGGTAAATGACAATTTTTGGTATAAGTATGTCCCAAATATTTTGTGAGACATACTTATACTACAAAAATATTTGTTGAGCATCTGAAATTCAAATTTAACTAGTGTCCTATATTTCTCTTTTTTTGCTCAATCAGGTATCCCTACCACATAAGGCAGTTGTGAGAAATAAAAGCAATTTCTCAAGATAATATAAATGAAAGAATCTAGCGTAGTAGCCGACACACAGTAAGTATATGACTTTCCCTTTCCATTATGAGGATGTCATAGGTTATCATTCTGACAAAAATTCTTTATTATTCAGAGAAATGGTTTGGGTTTGAGAACTTGAGCTGTTGCTTTTCTCTTCTTCTCTTTTTTTAACCCTAGAGATTTCACAGTTACTTCCCCTAAATTGTTTAAGATTTAGTTCTCTTAACACCTCTAGAAAATTAGTCACTCTTCTCCATTGAAGGAAACCATGTTTTAGAAAAGAAAATTGCACTTTTAGTCGCATCATTGCCCCCCCACAGATTATTCCAAAATTAAAATTTAGGCAAGAAGTATTAAATATTTCAAAATTTTCACTTCTTCATTGTACCTCAGAACAGGGTGTTTATATGAATAAAATGTATTTTATCTTCTTTCTCTAATGAAGAATATTTCTATTATCTCTGGAATAGTTCTAGTTACTGAGCCAGCAAATTGATTACTTGCAATTTTAGACAAGAACAGGGGATCCAGCAATGGGCCAACAAAAGTCAAGTTCAGTCCAGTAAATTTTGAAAACTGAACCAACAGAGAAGTGTACAGGTGGTAGGAATATTATAAGCTTTCTGGAAGGCAGACTGGCAATATGTATAAAAATCATAGTTATGCATCCTGTTGAAATGAACTGGCTCTCTAGAGGACAAAGGGAATAAGAAGCATGCTTCAACTGTCATTGTTTGTTTACTTGACCCCCAAATCCATCCCTCATCCTTCTGCCCAGACTGTCAACTCCTTGGGAGCAAAAATTATTTTCTCTCTCTTTTCTGTTTATAGTACTCATAGTAACTTACACATAATAAGCAGTTAATAGTTATTTGTGAACTGAGCTAATTTTGAATGAACTGAGGATATAATTGGTTATCCTCAATTAATTTTGGGGAAAGCCTCTAAAAGAACATACTCTTATCCAGCAATTCTCAGAATTCATGCCAAGGAAAAAAGCTTTTATAGTTAGAGAGCTATATGTCTAATGATGTTTATCACAGCATTATTATAGTAGTGCAAATTGAAAACAACTTAAAAATGGGCTATGAACCATATTATGTCTCCCCGCCCCCCCCAAATTCACATGCTGAAGCCCTAACTCCCCATGTGATGGTATTTGGAAGTAGAACCCTTGGGAGATAATTAGGTTTGGATGAGGTCATGAAGCCGGGCCCTCATGGTGATATTAGTGACCTTTAAGAAGAAACACCGAAGTTTTTTCTCCATTTTCCTCTCTCTGACATGAGGATACAGTGAGAAGGTGCCTATTTCAAGGCAGGAGGAGAGTCCTCACCAGAACCCTACCATGCTGGCACCCTAATCTCAAACTTCCAGCCTCCAGAACTGTGCAAAAATAAATTTGTTGTTTAAGCCACACAATCTGTGGTATTTTATTGTGGAAGCCCAAGCAAACAGACAATATCCAAGAATAGGATATTGGTTAAATGAATGATGGTAAATCCATATGTAGATTATTGTGTAGTCATAATCATTCTTTAAAAAACTTACGGCATAGGAAATTTTTTATTATATTTAAGTGAAAAAGCAGACTACAAACAGTATTACATGTGGTGCTGTTTTTATAAAAACTAATACACATATATGCATACACAACATGTACAAATTTTTGAAAAAATGCAAGGTAATACACTAAAATGTGAATAAATAATTTTCTCTGAGTAATTGAATGGCAGATTATTTTTCTGTAATTTTTCTTTGTGTTTTACCATATTTTACAAGTTTGAGGTTGTAAATATATTTTACTTTTGTAATCAGAAAAATAAGCTAGGAGATTTTCTTTAGTTAATGAACTGCTACCCACCCTGGAGAGTGACATTGAAAACAAAGAGGCAGTCTGGGAGATACTTTCTCAGACCCGGGTGGGGGTCTTTCCCCGTGAAGGTTGACAGCTCTCAGGTGAAGCCAGCAGCCTCTTAATGTACTCTGCAACACGAACCCCACCTAATGGAAATACTCTCTATTTTCCTCTCTTTCTGCTTTTTATCTCATCACTATTCATTGCCAATATTCCTGATATTTATGTTCATTGGATGAAAAGACTTCTAAGCTAAAAAGGAATCAGGAAATCTTTAACAAGTAAGGAAAGAAAGATATTTTTTTTAATGAGCTAAAGAGACCTTTAGAAATTGAAACAGGGGCGCCCGGGTGGCTCAGTTGGTTAAGCGACTGCCTTCGGCTCAGGTCATGATCCTGGAGTCCCAGGATCGAGTCCTGCATCGGGCTCCCTGCTCGGCGGGGAGTCTGCTTCTCCCTCTAACCCTCCCCCCTCTCATGTACTCTCTCTCTCTCATTCTCGCTCTCTCAAATAAATAATCTTTAAAAAAAAAAAAGAAATTGAAACAAAATGAAGAAAAAGGTTTCAAACAGAAACTAGTTGTTTCAAAGGTAAGACTTGGCTTCTCTACATATCCCCTTGGACCTATTTTAAATCCCCAGTGCACTCACCCATTTACTTAATCTGTGCACAATTTGGAAATTTTTCTAGCTATCAGATATTTTAGCAATCACACTGCAAACTCAGTAAAAGGGGTATGTGCCTTATCTTCCTTTGGCTATTACAGTAAGCTCATTAACCAAGACTTCTGCTCCCCTTCTGTGGCTTCTTTTTGTCATACAGCTCGTTATAATAGTACATCTATGTAACCATGTTCACTGTTATAAAATGGAAGCATTTTTATAGCTTAGATTCAAAAGCCAGGTAAAACTGCTGGTCTGTTCATTTACTAGGTGACCTCCAACCCTTAGCATAGCTATGAGGTCCTTATATCCTGGCATCTTGTTTGAAATATTGGCAAAATCTCTACCTAGTTAGCAAGGCCATTCTCGAAGCCTTCTGTAGGGTAGTAACCCTTGCTCTCTTTCATCGTCACAGCTGTGTGTGGTGACCAGAAGCCTGGAGGAGTGCCTGAATTACACAGACTATGTGTAATGACTGAGGGCATACGCATTCATAACAGACTGTCACAAGGAAGAACAGACAAGAGATCATAAACTGTGACTGGAGAATATACAACAGAACATTGAAGATGGGTTAGAACATGATCTAAGGAGGGAAGAAACATGGTTCTTTAGGTAGCTATTTTAAAGCATAACTTAACGGAGTGCACATAAATAATAACCTTAGCAATACATTTTAAACGTTTTTAGACTTCATTTAAATACCAAGATTATTTATTCTAAAATGCAAAGAAAACTAAATGATTGGGGAAGCGTGAAAACTGGTTCAAAACTGCAGAAAACGGGACATGGTCTCCTTCTTGGGGAAGTTATGATTATGCCTCCACCAAACTGCACTGCAGTTGAGAAATGATGCAGAAGAACAGACGTCAACTCTTCTCTGCCAATTCCACAGCTTCCAGAAATGTCCCCAACATACCCTGTTCTCAAGTTGACTCTGTTCCCCTGACATTTCTGCTCACTTTTTAAATCGGGAGGGAGGAAGTAAACATTAATTCCAGGTATTGTCGACTAAATACATGGGTAAAAATCTGTGTGATTTATAATGCTTTCATTTAGCCTGGTAGTGTGATCCTCAGTTATTCTTCACAGAGAGGCTGATCAAGAAGTATCATAAATGGCATTGTTCCCTGTTCTTGTTTGTTTTTTTTTTTAAGATTTTATTTATTTATTTGATAGAGAGAGGCAGCGAGAGAGAGAACACAAGCAGGGGGAGCGGGAGAGGGAGAAGCAGGCTCCTCGCCCAGCAGGGAGCCCGATGCGGGGCTCGATCCCAGGACCGTGGGACCATGACCCGAGCCGAAGGAACACGCCCAACAACTGAGCCACCCAGGCGCCCCTCCCTGTTCTTGTTAATACTGATTTCCGGTCTTGTTTCCGTGGTTTGATTCCCTGCTGTTCTATTAATGTACTGTGTTTAAGAGCTAGATGAATGGACAGTCATTCAAGATTAGTTTAGAGAAAGACAGATGTTTGATTGAACAGACCCTTAATAAACACCTGCATATATTGCATTTCAAGCACTGTATTCTTCTGGAATACAAGATGTGCAACAGCCCTTAAGTCTGCAGTCTGGTGGGACCAGCAGAGGTAGACAAATATCCATGATATAATGTAAAACGAGATCCATGCTGTAATTGGAGGTATAAAAGAGCACTGTGGGAAAATTAATTATATATTCGTTAATATCTTAGTTAATAATTAATTAAATTTTTTTTACCTATGAGGTAAAGGAGCAGGGGAGGGAAAGTAATGCAAAAGAAGTAATAGAAAATAAATAACATTTAAGCAGGACCGAAAGTATCATGAGTTTGCCAGATAAAGTGTGCAACAAAGGCATTGCAGGAAGAAGAGCAAACTGTCTATTTATACCTGATGTGACTCTTCAAAGAATTTGAGGTGAATACCATTCCATTGGCCCATTTTCTATTTTTAATTTGTAAACATTTCTTTGGGCTTCAGCTCCAGGACTCTAAACATAGAGGAACCTAATGGTTAAAAAATGACTCTTAATTGCACACAGATAGGGAGACCATTATCCTGACCAGCCATGGATACTCTGTGTGTTTCCTTCCACTGACAGAGATAAATGTGCAGTGAATTACCACCCATCGGAATCTCACATGACATCAGGATACTCTGGGAACCCTCCTTTCCCTGATCAAATTTCTCAAGAAGAAATATTTTCATGAATTACAAAATGTTCAGTAACTCCATGTCTTATGAAAGTATGGATCTTAATAAAGGGCAAAGCATAAATTTTAATATGGTCAGTTCAGTAACCAATAGGAGAGAATTTTGCTGCTAGTTCTGTGACTGCTCCTAGTGTTTTTGATGTTATTTAATCGGGAGCTCCTCTTTAGTGCCCTCGTCATCATCCCACATAAGAGAAGCCCGCAGGTCTGTCTGCTCCCGAGAAAGACCCTATGCTATACATTGGTAGCAGAACTTTCAGGTTCGCTAGGCAGTGGGGAAGAGTTTAGCATATTTAGGGATGGCTAGAACCCAAAATACAT